GTGGGTTTTGCCACCACAATCACTTCTGCACCAACCTAATAATGCTAAATGGTACAGCCACTATGGAAGACAGGATGGAAGATTCTTACAAAACGAAGCACTCTTACCATATAATCCAGCAAATGATCTGACTGAAATGAAACATAAATGTCTAACTTACTCAATTTTAGTCTGTTGATTATAGCAACTTAGCTGCTGTTTTTAAATACCACTAACCCATTTTTTCCTTGATAATGTTAATGAAGGCTTAACCGTAAAGCAACTCCCTTTGCTGAAGAATAGTATTTGCTAAAAAAACAAAATCGCCATAAAATTTTAAATGTTTAATATTTTCATATGTATGCGTATTTGCACAAATGTATGGGAATCTTGTTTAATAACAAATCTTCAACATCAGACACAAGTGTCTAGGAAAAATTGTATACATAGGAAAATATGGAGAACTACATTTTACCTATGTCCTCTTCAACACCCAATACAAAAATGATCATCTGAATGTTAGAAATATGGTACTTCCTTCATCACACACTAATTTTTTCAGGCATTGGTGTTAGTGTTCCTTCAAATGGTCTTGTTATACGTTAGCCCAACGTGGGAAAATGCATGTAGGAATGTTAAAGTATAGCCATATTTTGTATGATTATATTTGTAAATCTTTAGATCAATTTGATGCAAGTTATTCTCTAGTAGGACAGGGTATTAGATCAATTTTCTAAAGTATACCTTCATTTTTTTCCTGAACTGTCTACAATGATTTGCATTCTATTGTTCCTGCTGTTAGCTGACATCTACCATAATATCTGACTAGTTTTGTTCTATTCTTTCTTAATGTTCTATTTCTCCTCTTAATTGCCCCTTTTGTACCTCTAGTCTCTAGTCTGTATGTCTCTAATACATAGAGGTACCAATTTTACAACCCCCAAGGCTTGTCAGGTTAAAGATTAATGAGCAGACTATGCCCAAAGGCTTTGGAAAGGTTAAGCATAATTACAAATGGGTATTTTATGCAATGCTGGAGATGTGCAAGCTGTTTTTCAAAAAAGGGCAAGAAAAAAGGTAATGAAACTTATGGGATTCATGTCAACTCTTGTGTATGTATATAAAAAAGGTTTCTTTAAAATGAGAAATTAACATGCTAACTGGAAGAGGTTGTTAAATCCTGCCCTTTTATTCATGATTGTAACACAGGTGCGCGCGCGCACGCACGCGCGCACACACACACACACACACACACGCACACACATTAACATATAACAGAATTGAGAACAATCACAGGTTTGTATTATCATTGACTTTATAAAAAGCACTTTTTAATATTTAGAGTAAAAAAATATGGCTTGAAATAGCTGAGTGTTACTATTGAAACATAGCATTCAGAGAAGGAATATGTAGTTTCCACTTGAAATTTTATAGCTCGCCATGAAAAGAACTACTTTCCATGGAAAGTAGTTCTTTAGAGGTTTAGTTTCACAATTACTGTGAAATATAAGTTGAACATCTGGCTATCCCAGCACCACAAAGATGGTATTAGGATTACAGCAAAATTACTATATTATATATACTAATCCAGTCGGTGTTTCTTACTAATTATAAAGTGTTACCAGGGTTAAAACACTCCTGTTTAAAAGTCGGAAAGCTGTTGACCTAATTGGAGGTAGTTTTCTCAAATGCTTCAGAACAGGGGGCCATGCTGGATTTAACTTTGCTAAGGAAAAATAATTGATCTGTAAGTGTTGAGTTGAAAAGTGAGATTTTTGCTGAAAAAGATTCAAAGTTAATTCACTTCCTTTAAAGCATTTATTCTCTGCCTAAAGTCAGCACCCTCCCTTTGTCTACTACATTCCTTCACTTCATTCAACATCTTTGCAGTTACCTCTCATGCTTACAGCAACATTTTTCTCTGTATACAATGATTTCCATCAACTTAAGAACATGAAAGTTTTCATTTAAAGTGAGAGCGGCAGGAGGCAGCCAAATGCTTAGGCAGCTGGGGAAGATCCCCAGTGAAACTCCTTCTCCAAGCCAAGGAGAATTTAAAACCTGGAAGCCAAGCTACAAGTTAAATCCTTGGACTGGATCGAGAACTTGTTTTCTCATTTGGCATGCTTTTCTGATCCCCACCTTTCACCTATTTTACATATATCTACACTTTTCTAATGGACTTTCTATACTGCTGTGCCCAACTTTGAGTGATACCTTCACTTTAACCTTTTCTGCACACTCTCAAATTAATCAACACTCCCCATTCTGAGTCCAAAGATCCTGGACCCAGCAACCAAGGGGAGATTCCTGCCTTCAGGAAGGGGGACCAACACTGCATGCCCTCTGCTGAAAGCTGTTTCATTGTTCAGTAAAATTATTCTCCACCGTCTTCACCCTTCAATGTCCCGTTGTATCCTCATTCTTCTTGGGCATGGCACAAGAGCTCCAGAACAGCTGAACACATGTACAAGCTATAACATAGGCAAGCTGGGGAACATCTGCATGGCCGAGGAGCATCCAGGCAGGGTGTCACTGGCTGGGAAGTCCCAGGCTTGCAAAGTGACTAAGAAAAATCCTATGTGAAAAGGAAAAACCAAAACACCTCAATCTTGACCCCGTTATTCCTCTTTATATAACCCCATTTAACTCATTTTCTTAACAGTAAAATTTCTTGAAATACTTGTCAACTTTTTCTTTCTAGTTCCTTTCTTCCTAATTTGTTTTAAACTCACTACAATTAGGCTTTCAAAACACTTCAAGTAACGGCTATTTTCAAGGTGCCCAATGATCTTCTGAAATTCAACATTCCAGTTCTCCTGTTCTTTGGCCTATTAGCATTTGGCATATAATTTCCTCTTTCTAAATACATTTCCTTCACTTGGCATCAAAGACTTCCACAAGTAACTGGTTTTACCCACATGTCCCTGGTTGTTCCATTATATTCTCCTAGCTTATTCTTTCCGAGCTCCTAATGCTGTTTAGGAATGCCCTAAGACAGTCCTTGAACTTTTTCTCTCCTCTATCAAAACTCTCCCTTGATAAATTAATCCAGCTTCATGTCTTTAAGTATCACTTATATACAGATGACTGTGATGGCAATGATTTCTGTTGATCAAATATCCATGTTGTACCTCACATAATCCACATCCTTTGTGGTGCAGTGAGCCCATTTCATTGGATTGGCTATCACTAATGGGTGATGTCAATTTCCTAGGCCAAACTGAAAGCTTTATATAGAGAGAGTCCTGAGGTGGAATCAACTTAGATATAGGAGTCAGAAGCTTAGAAGTAAGCTGCTTTAGGGAGAATGTTGGGATAGTTGACATTTGGATGAACAAAAAATAAGTGCAGAGTCAATTTTTTTCTACAAAATGTCAGATGATTAATATGTTTAACTTACAGGACGTATGGTCTCTATTGTAGCTACTCAGCTATGCCATTATAGTAAGAAGTAGCCACAGACAGTAAACGAATGAGAATGGCTGTGCCCCAATAACGTTTACTAAAACAGGTGCCAGGCTGGATTTGGCCTACGGAGTGTTGGCCAACTCTTGCTTTAAGCCACTGAGACATTGAGGTTTCTTTGTTATCACAGCATTTATCACAGCATGTAGCTTCGTCTATACTTATTAATCAAACCTCCAAACCTATGTTTTCATTTCAGACCTCCAGGGAGAGGGAAGTCAAATTTGGGAGGATATCTAGGATGGGATTTTTTTTGGACCCATAATTTTATTGGTCACATACAGACTTCATGGTTACAATTAACAAAATGCTTTTACTCAGATAAATATATATATATTTTGTTGTCTTTTTTGGCAATGCAATTTCTATATAGATGAGGTAGCTACATAAACTGAAGGCTCAGCTTTGAATAACAAATTATTACAGAAAAGTCATGCTAACAGTACAGGAGAGAATACGTTGTATTTAGAATCTGACCTGTGGATAAATCCAACACTTGAAAACTAGCTTGTGCCAGCCACTCTCAAAGGCTGAAGTGTGGATTGTGAGGGTGTAATCACATAGAAAATGAAATGTTTCTATTATCAGCTACTCAGAGGATAATCATTAATGACAACTATCTGCTCTCCCAGAGAAAGTTTGGATTCTGCCCTTATAATCCCAGTATTGGAAGTGAAGCTGAGCAGTGATTAATAACGAATGATTCAAAGGCAAATATAGTCTAGAACAAGTTCCCTCCTTTACTTTTCTGGAGAGTATGCTATCAAAGTTGCTTTCAAACGTATGTCTGCTGCTCCACTTCATCCCACAAAATGAAACAGTCTGCTTTTCCATTTCAAATTACCAAGTAGGGCTATCATTACCAAGTTCAGGCACAGCCCTGGGCACAGCCCTGGGCACAGCCATGATAAGAAACAATCACATTTTGTAATGGCTGAAGATGCAGGTTCCCGTCAAGCATGTTAAGTCCGAAGCAGAAGTTCTGAAACTTTAAAAATCCGTGCCTATTTAATACGTAATAACCTAACTTGTGCTAGCCTGACTCCATCTTAGCTGTAAGCTCCAGCCTAGCTTCTCCCTCCCACAGCCCCCTCGGGTGCATAACTGGGTTGTGCTATACTCAGAGCCTTGAACCGTTGAGGTTTGGAGCACACTGTTCTTAGTACCTGTAACCTTTGTAACTACATCCTGTTTGGCAAGCACGCCTGCTATTATGAATACCTCTCTTGGTGATGGATGGATTGTATGGGAAGTCCTCCCTACTACCCCCCTTGATGACTGTATGGAAATACTTAGTAACCAGCAATTATGGGAACCTCCTGCCTCCTGGTTCCCAGCCTCCTACTAACTTGCTTGTTCTGCTTCTGTAAAAATTCCGCTTCAGCTAGGTGCCCCCTCCCATACCTAAATCAAGGTATAAAAGGAAATCAAGCCCCTTCCTGGGGGCCAAATTTTAAGCATTAACCATCTCCGTCACTGGCTAATAAAAGAACTCCTGAATTAGTGCTCAGAGTTTGGTGTTTTCTCTAACTCACTCAGTTATTTGCCACCAGGTGCAGACGAGGCTTGTTCCTGGCTCCCCAGGGGAGGAGGCGGACTATAGGGGAGGCACCCCCTGAGACGTTCCAGGGCTCCTTAGGCCACCCCTTGCCAGAGGAGAGCAGATGGACTCCCGGCATGCTCCATCAAATTATTCTTCCGAGTCCCTGGTCCTGCTCCACGGAGAAGGTAAGTCAGGCCTGACTTGGTTATTCCTGGAAGTTACAAGGGTCATCCAATTACCAGGACACTGGAATTGACTAGGGTTGACTTGGAATTGATTCCTGTGGCCTTGGGCTTTGGGTGTCCCAGAGTCCCTGATCCTGGTTCTGGTTTTTGAACTCTGGGTGTCTGAAGTCCCTGGTTCTGTTTCTGTTTTTGGACTCTGGGTTTTTAGAGTGTCTGGTTCTGTTCTACAGTCTGATTTAGAGAGGTTTAGCCCTAAAGAGGGCACCCCTCAGGACTGTCACCACTCCAGAATGCTGGAGGACAGAGTCCCCGGTTTGTCTGATTTAAGAGATTTCTCTAAGACAAAGACTTCAGCAGGATTCCAGCTGCTTACAAATGCTAAAAGACTACAGTAACCTCTAAATGAATGTGTGCATGCATGTGAGTTCATGGGGACCTTAGAGGCTTGCGTCTAAGAATCCAGTCTGTGGCTCCATGGCAAAAGCTATGGAGTCCGAGTGGACCCTAACCTGCGGTTCTGTGGTAACCTCGTGGCTTAACGACAGCATCAGACTAGACTAGTTCTGATGCAAGTCGGGGGCTTATACTTAACTGTCTATGCCAAGAGGCACCCAAGTCTCTGTAAGGGGAGTGGCCAGGCAGGCATCTGAGTGATCCCAACACGGGACCCCATCCTTGTCTGTCGTTTTAAAGCAACCGCAATCATTTGTCTATCTCGGTGCCTTAGCTACCTCACAGTTCTGTAGGTCTTGTGTTTTGCTGTTTTGCTCTCTGTTAATGTGTGAGTTGTATGTCCTGTCATTACTGTCCAAAGCGGTTAGGTGAGAATTTCTTCAAGGCCCTCACTAAAGACCTCATTCCACCAGACACCATCTCGCTTATCTGTTGTTTGGGCTGGTCTCCCCGAGGCTGTATTTTCGGTCAGAAGGATGTTAAGTGTTGCTACGGGAGGGTTTGCACTAAGCATTAGGAGGCTTGTTCCCCCGTTTGGGATTTTTGGCATAATAAAGGTTGCTGGAAGTTGGACTGTCATAAGCCATGTCCCAGTGACTGGTGTGATGGTCCCATAGACCACTGGTAAATTCAAAACACCCATCCTGCTAATCCCTGGCCCATCTTTTCTGTCATCCCACCACTTTTCCTGTACCTTTAGACAAGCCCCTGTTTAAGGAAAACTGTGCCTTTTTAGCTCTACAACTTTTCCACTCCTATAATGCCCCTGGGTGGAAACTCATTGCCAGGTGCTACTGGTGGGATCATTCCGTTGGTCTGTATCCTCCTCATCCCTTATCCCTTACCCCGGACTCGCCTACCAAAAGAAATCCCCGACCACCTCTAAGACCACCAGGTCCCCGTAAGTACTTCCTATAATGGGATCTGCCTCCTCTCAACTCTCTAAACCCCACCAGTGCATGTTAAAAAAAAATTCACCTTGGGCTTCTTGGGAGAGCACAGAGTTTGCTTACTAAAGGCAGGCTCCAAACTCTGCGAAGTGGAGTGGCCAAGCTTTGGAATGAGATGGCCCCCCTCCGGGTCTCTGAATTTCAAAACAGTTCAGGCAGTGTAAAAGGTGGACACCCTAGTCACTTTCCCTGTATTAACCAGTGGCTGGACCTGGTCCAGAATCCACCCCCACGGCTCATCTCCTGTGGTCTCCACCTATCGCCTCCAGACTGAGGTCTCAGCCAGAGGAGGCTGCCCCACTTCTCCCCGTAAGGAAAGCACTACACATGTCTGGTGGCAAACGCTCAGTCCCATTTTTGGTCTTTGTCCCTTTTTCTATCTACTTCTAACCTGTACAACCAAAAAGCTCAGAATCCACCCTTTTCTGAGAAACCTGGGGTCCTGACCTCACTGGTTAAGTCCATACCCTGGACTCACCGATCCCCTAACCCTTTTTACATCTGAGGAAAGGGATTGTATGCGAAGGGAGGCCAAAATGTTTGTCCTTAGTTCAGCCAGTATGCCAGAGGAAGGAGCCCGAGTCCTCCTAGAGGAGGTTTTCTCTTCCACTTGGCCTGACTGGGACCCAAATACCTCGGGGAGTAAAGCTTTGGACAATTTCCACTGGTATCTCCTTGCGGGTATTAAAGGAGCCACTCAAAAACCCATGAATCTGTCTAAAATAACTGAAGTTGTCCAGGAGCTGATAAGTCACCTGATGTGTTTTTAAAATGCCTCCAGAAGTCTTATCAAATTTACACCCCATTTAATCCAGCTGCTCCCAAAAACAGCCGTGCTATTAATTTGGCATTTATGGCCCAGGCAGCTCCTAATATTTGAAAAAAGTCACAAAAACTTAAAAAATTTGTTAAACATTTCCCAACTCCTGAAAATAGCTCAAAACGTTTTTAGCAGTGGAAATCATAAAAAACCAAACAGGCTTCTCTGGCAGCTGAAAAGGCAGCTAGCAGGGCATCAGAAAGGCAGGCAAAAATCTTAGTGGCAGCACTCTAAGAAGTTAAACATGGGCATTCCAAGTTGTCTACAAGCAGTAACGGCAACCACAAGTCTGGTCCGGGAGGCTAATAAACTAACCCTGGGCCAAAACCTTAACCCTCATGGCTCCTCATGCCATTAAAACATTGCTGTGCGGCGCCTCTGGAAAATAGATGTCCAATGCTCGCATACTAATCCTGCTGTTGCCAGGCGCCTCACCTAACTTTCTCCCCAACAAGGTGTTTAAATCCAGCCACTCTACTCCCTAATCCAAATTTAACTACCTGTCAATGAGTGCCAAGAGCTATTAAAGACTATGGAAACTGGCCAGCCTAATCTCCAGGATGTCCCCCTGAAAAAGGCAGATGCCACCGTATTTACGAACAGTAGCAGCTTCCGGTGCTGCTGTCACCAGAGGCATTCTGTGGTCTCAGGCTTTGCTGGCTAAAACATCTGCCCAAAAGCTACATAGCCCTCACCCAAGCTCTCAGGTGGGGAAAACAAATGTATTAACATCTATACTAATAGTCGGTATGCTTTTGCCCCTGTTCATATCCATGGAGCCATCTACCAGGAAAAGGAACTAGGTCGGTTGGAAAGACTATTAAAAACAAAATCCTGACCTTATGGGAAGCCACGTGGCTTCCCCACCAGGTGGCTGTTACTTACTGCAAAGCGTACCAGAAAAAAACATGGCTGTTGCCAGGGGAAACAAAGATTTGCAGCCCGCAAGGTGGCTACACTCCCAGTTGCCCCATTAACATTGTTGTCAGCTATTGCATTTCCACCTCCTAGCCTGCCCAACTGCCCCATCTACTCCCCAAAGAAAGAAGTGCAAGCAAGCAAGCATCTCAAAATCTCTCATCTCCAGGATTTAACTGCCCAGGTAGCCAACGGCCTTATGGCCTGCGCTCAGGTAAATGCCAAACAAAACCCAAAATCTAAACTGGGCCACCGTCTACGGGGATGCAGTCTGGGGAAAAATGTAAAAAATAAGCCTCACAGAAGTCAAGCCACACCTGGCAGGATACAGATATCTCTTGGTAATAGTAAACACTTTTTCTGAACAGACTAAGGCACTTGACACCAGAAACAAAACTGCCTCTATGGTGGTTAAATTCTTAAGAAAGTCATCCCTCGACATGGGCTGCCATTTGTATAGGGTCTGATAATGGTCCAGCCTTCACCTTGTCCATAACCCAATCAGTTCAGAGCTCTGGACAGGTAAAACACATAAATCGTACCCTAAAAAGTACTCTTACAAAATTAATCTTGAAGACTGGTGAGGGTTGAACAAACCTCCTTCCTTTAGCCCTCCTTAAGGTTAAATGTACTCCCTATGAGGCAGGTTTCTGTCCTTTTAAAATCATGTATAAAAGGACACCTCCTGTACTATCCAGGTTAAAGGACACCCAAATAGCAGAAATAACCCAAACTAATCTGTTACAGTACCTGCAGTCTCCCCAACAGGTTCACGACATCAGCCACTTGTCAGGGGAAAGCACCCTAATCCAGTTCCTAACCAAACCGGGCCCTGCCACTCTTTCTGTCCTGGTAACCTAAAACCACCTGCAACCAGTCTTTACTCACTGTCGTAAACTACTCAGTTTCTTAACAGGCACCTAACTGCACTTAGCTGGCCTGCACCTCAGGGCTCACCCACTGCTTCACTAGAACTAAACCCGAACCTGTCCTGTGTGTGTTAGTCCACGTGCTTCCCCAGGTCTATGTGTACAGCGAACCAGAAACACACCTCCTCACTCCTCTGCGGCTACACTCCAGGTTTTGCCGAGGTGTTCCCCTCATTAATCCCATCCTAGCCAGTCTTAGTGTGGCTGAATCGGCAGCCACTGGCACTGCAGCCCTGGTCCAGGGAGAGACTGGACTAACATCCCTAATGTAACAGGTAGATTCTAATTTAAAAAATATCCAGTCTGCCATAAAAATGTTACCTGCCCAAGTAAAATCTTTAGCTAAAGTAGCTCTGCAAAATCGCTGAGGCTTAAATCTAGTATTCCTCTCCCAAGGAGGTTTATGTGCAGCATTAAAAGCTGTTTTTATGCTAATAAGTCTGGAGTCATTAAAGACACTCTCCAAAAGGTCCAGGACAATTTAAATGGGTGCCGGCAAAAGTGGGAGAAAAATACCCCATTGTTCCAAAACAGGTTTAACTGAAGCCCATGGTTAACTAATAACCGGGCCAGCGGGACCTCTTCTCCTCCTGTTAGACTTAATTTTTGGTCCCTGCTTATTAAACCAGCTCCTTACTTTCATAAGGCAGCACATAAATTCTGTCAAACTTTTGTATCCCAGAAGCCACTATAACCCCCTTGTTGTAACTAAAGAGTCAATGCTTTAACTCCCCAAAAACACAAGTGGGGAATGTAATAACCTAACTTGTGCTAACCTAACTAACTCCATCTTAGCTGTAGGCTGCAGCCTAGCTTCTCCCTCCTTAGCACAGCCCCCTCGGGTGCATAACTGGGTCATGCTGTACTCAGAGCCTTGAACCGTTGAGGTTTGGAGCACAGTGTTCCTAGTACCTATAACCATTGTAACTA